GTCCGCAATCAAGAAGTTAATCTTAACCTCTTGCGCTCGAGAATATTTTGTTCCAAAATTGCAATATTTTCCCAGTTTTAAATATATTTAAGTATAACCCAGGCAAAACAAATAGCAAATTTATTACAATTTAGTAATTTCTATTCAGTGACACAGCGATGAATTCAAAAAGAAGACGAATTATTGTATACGGTTTGGTCACTCGTTACGGTCCGCAATCAGTTGCCAGCGCAAGTGGTTAAGTCGTCGATTAACCTTCTCGCTACTTGGTGAGAGTAGCTACCTGTATTTTTACCAAAGTTAAGAAACAGTGCAAAATTTTATTATCGAGTGATTAAAATTGCTCAACAGTAGTACACAGCGGGCATCAGATTACAGTTGCCTGGGTACAGTTAATCCGAGTTACGTAAACTGAAACTTTACGTAACTTGAATTTACGTAAGAATTTGAATTTGTAAATTGCTCAAGTGTAACTTCATAAGATACTGCAATAGTTATTATTATTATAATATATATGCATATTATTTACACGGTATATTTTATAAATGAAACATCATACAGCAGGATTTACTCGGATACAAGTTATAAAAGTAGGAAAAGAATATATAAACAAACTGAAATAACACTTAGGACTTGCTGTCAATGTCGAGTTTAGTTGTATAATATTATGTTGTTGCGTACTGGATGTCAAAGACACAAAAGTTTCGCTTCACGTTTTCGAATTGTACCACACTTTGCTAGATTATTAGGTATATCATAAAATAAATGTTGAATTTTTAGTATGTGTAGAATACTATAATATATCAATTATATATTTATTATATTATAAAATTATATAAATAATATATTGATTACAATATATAATAAATAAATAATATAACAATGTAGTGCAATTCAGTATTTTGATTATTTCAATATACTTTCGGCTTAATTGCACGCTGACAAAAAACAAATTTCGTCGTTTTCGGTGTTGATCACAATTGAACTTCTATGTATCAAAGTCTGTACAGTAGCCAAAGGGTTAAACGTTTGAATCACGGCTGCTTGCCACTCGAGTTCCCTCGCGGACAAGTGACAATTTCCATCGAAGGAAAATCGATTTTGTCGCTCGTCGAAGGAGAAAGAAGCCGTGAGTTTTTCGGTGTTTTCGTGGAAAGAGATATAAATCCAAGGAGAAGCAGGAGTAGTATAAATCGCACACCGAGAGAAAAGACGCGTCTCTCTGATGTCGACTAATCGCTGGTTCTTCTCGCCGGCGTAATTTGAATAAGATCCTCGTAAAAGGCAGGAATTTATGTTGATGTCGGTCAGACCGAAAGAAATGATCTGTGAAACGATTCGCCGAGATTAATCTCGAATTCCTCGCTCTCGTTGCCGGTGAATTAAATCTCGCAAGAAGCCTGACTCATCCGCGTCTCTCCGTTTTCCGCCGCCATAGCGTTTTCCTCGCCAGTTTGCACTTTCTGCACTCGGAGGAGATCGAGTACTTTCTCGTCTTGTGTTTGCAGGGTCGAACTGTCGCAGCAGCGGGAACGGGAACGGGAAGCAGAGAAGATCCAGGACGAACTTCACGCTGGAACAGTTGGCCGAGTTGGAGAGGCTGTTCGACGAGACGCATTACCCCGACGCGTTCATGAGGGAAGAGCTCAGCCAGCGACTCGGTTTGAGCGAGGCGAGAGTTCAAGTCTGGTTTCAGAATCGGCGTGCAAAGTGTCGCAAACACGAGAGTCAATTGCACAAAGGTAAGACACCGCAAAGTCTGTCATTATGCAAATTTATTTGAAGAAGAGAAACTTTTTCGCCATTTTTCATGACAACTATTAGGCCCCTTGGGAAAGTTTTACCTTCGTGATGAGTAGAATGGCAAAAGAAAAAAAAGAGGAAAAAAAAATTTGACCTTGAGAGTCAAGATTTTTGCGGCGGGTTCTTTACTTATCAGGTGTTTCCATCGAATCGAAGGTGCAGAATTCATCTGTCATCATCTATCGTTGCATCACAAATATATGGTACAAAGCTTCTCTACTTTTTGGATTTGGCAATGTTTCTAATGGATTTCACCACGCCGATAGTTCTACTACTTAATTAACCCCTTGCGCTGGAATTTTGTTGTCTCAAATCCGCAATATTTTCTCAGTTTTAAGTATATTCAAGTGCCTAACCCAAGGCAGAAAATATAAAAAAATAATAAATTCGTTGTTTCTCGACAATTTCTACCCACTGACATCATACCGACGAGTTCCAAAGAAAAGGAAAGCGACGAATTATTGTGTACAGCATGGTCGCTCGTTACGGTCCGCAATCAGTTGGGCCAGCGCAAGTGGTCAACAGCGTCAAAAGCAACGTTTACTCGCGCGCTAAATTGTAACGCAGAGTATCGAGACCCGACTCGGGCCGAGGTGACTTTTCATCGCGTTCTATGTTGAACAGACGTGTCTTGCCAAAAATGAAACAAATTGCTGCAAAGTCAGAAATCTCTGGCAAAGAGGAGAGCGATTAAATCGTGTCCACGCAATCATGCGTCAAACTGGTTATCGCATCAGGGTTAACCGAAGATTGACAGGTGTGGCAGGTGGGATGGTGCTGGCTCCTCGAAGTCCGCCAGCGAGCTTGGAACCGTGCCGAGTGGCGCCGTACCTGCCGGCGTTGAGGTTGCATCCGCCGATGCAGGCGGCCGCTGCGGCCGCAGCCGCCGCCGCCGCCGCCGCCGGCAACATGAGCACCGCGTCCGCCTTCGACCCGGCGGTCCTCCATTACGCGGCAGCCGGCGGCCTTTTCTGTCTTCCGCCGCCGCCGCCGCCGCCACCGCCGCCGCCGAGCTCCGCTCATCCGCATCCTCATCCCCTGAGCCTGGCGGCTTCGTTGGCCGCCGCCGCGGCACGCTCCAAGAACAGCAGCATCGCCGACCTTAGGTTAAAGGCCAGGCGACACCAGGAGGCACTCGGACTCGACAGGCCCGCGTAAACTCTCCGACTTCTTCTTCAGAAGAAGACCTTTCTTTCTTTCTTTCCTTCCTCTCGCTCCACCGAGACGTTTCCTCCTTTCTTTCACGTTGCTACTCTCTCCCATGATCTGCACGCTCTGCGGTGAGTATGCCAATTTCTCTCGCCGTCGTTAGTTAGTTCTTTTCGTTTCGTTACCTCGCGTTTCTCGACACTTGCGCGAAGCTGGATCAGTTTTGTACAGAAAAGTAGTGTCTAGCGCGCGCGCGTGCGCGACGAGAGGCCTGTTCGAATTGGACTTGGAGAGGACTTTCGGCAGTTTGGTTGGCTTGTCTGGCTACAGTACGCGACAAAATGATAACACACCCTATAGTAAATGTAGTGTGTTGTCTTAATTTGAAAAGTTTGTTTTACTATGCTTCGTGTATATATGTTTCGTAACTTGTTGGGACTTACTTCGGGAGCTGATTGTACAAATAATGAAAAAGAGTCATATAAATGTATGTCCTATCTGTCTTCATTTATGAGATATAATGAATTTTCTGTTTACTTTTACAAAAGATACCCGAAATGACCACGTTGCGTTTGAAGACAAGCCTGCACGCGTCTTGTCATTCATCTGGTTACTCTCTCTATCGTTCCTGGTGTTTCTCGAATTTGTCGG